GAGTCAAGAAAGATGATGGTACAACCAGTTGGACTGGGGACAAAAACAATCTGAAGAAAAGTCAGCGCCTTGCATGCGCTTTCGATGTTTTTTGTGTATATACGTGTCTTTTTCTTTTGGGTCCTAGAGTGGAGCTTCTGTAGAGTGCGCTGAGGGCATATGCAAAGAGCTTTGCTGATCACTTGGCCACCCTGTTTACTGCAGCGTGCGCTGGTGGGAATGACTGGAAGGTGTGCGATGTGTTTCATGTTGTGTGTACGCGCGTGCTGTCCGTTGCAGGAACTGCCCATGGCACCAAAAGAGGAATGCTCTGTGGACCTTACAAAAACTGACCTGGAACTTTTCGAGGTGAGAGGGTAGGATTGTACACGGTTTGTATCCGACACTTTTCAAACATGAGAAACACACATACCTGCAATGCGCTATAGGAAATTGATTGGCGTTTGGCTGATCGCTGGGATGATGCCAGGAGCCTTCTGGATGTGGTGTCATGCGTCACAAATGTGGTGCTCATGGTTTCTTGATCAAAAGCTCGCCAATTTCTGAGGCCGGCGTGTGCCAACTGATGGAATACTTGCTTGCTTCTTCTTCCTTCCAGCCAAGGGGCCGGTGGGAAATTCTCAGAGATGTTGCTTTGAAGTGGCTGCAGCGCTAACATGTTGCAGTTGAAAGGAAAATGCTGCTTGAAAACCAACTGCGCTGTTTTTGCAATGCTGAGTGTGTTCTTGGCATGTCAGGAAGTCTCGCGTACCCAAAAAAAAACGAGGTGGGCGAATCATAGGTAAATCCCCGGTAAAAGGAGGTAAATCCCCGGTAGTCGTGGGTAAATCCCCCGCCCATTTTTTGCCCACCTCATTGGCCAGAGAGTTGTGGTCATTTTTGACATTTCAAGCCCTTTCAGCTCTGTTTTGCGAACTTGGTTGAACCATGGCCATGTCGGAGAGTGAAGTGCGGAACCTGGGAAAGTTGCAGCTTGCGCGACTGAAGCGTTTGCAACAATCACTCGACCGTCCTCCGACTGAGAGGGAATTGCAGGAGACATTGGGCTGGGACCATGACCTTATTGAGAGGGTCTTTTACATTGCTGATGATGAAGTGGACCCACCGCCAATCCATTTTTCTGTCTTTGCTGCAGCAGCCAAAGAGCAATATGATCGAGACCAGGTGGGTGACACCGGCACGTATACACGGGTTTGGTGTTTTTTTGCCAGGCGACCTTGCAAAAGAAGAAGGAAACAATGCCGGTTGAGCGGGGCGCTCACATTTTTAAATCTCGTGACTGTCAGTCACATGACCTTTTTGCTTGACAAGGCCTGTGAATGCGATGGTGGATGGCCCTGGGACTGGTGAGGTGTTTCTGGATTCTGCTTTTTGCTGAGCTGTATTTCATCTCCTGTAGGACCAACGTGAAAAGCCTGCTATCCCAAGTCAGCCAAGTGTTGAGAGGAGCTTTGCTGTGTGGTTGTGTTTTGTTTGGTGCCATTCTTTGATTGAGAAGGACCGGTTCCCTTGAGACTTTGCAGCAAGCGGCTGCTCTTTTGGAAGACCAAGCCAGAGTCGCCTCTCCGACTTCCAGTGTGTCCAGGCCTTAGAATTTTAGAATCCCATGCCCATCCAGATATTTTGGCCATCAATATTGCCCAGGCAGTCTAAGTCGCCGCCAGACAATGTGTTGCAGCAGCTACAAGCTGCAGGCAAACCCAAAGCACGCCCAACTCGCTGTGCTGCTTGTATGGAGGAAGCTGAGACACAGCCAGTGGAGGCTGTGGTGGATGAAATGGAAATCGCAGACACAGATCCGGACTATGTTCGCCAAGGCTCACAGGAGCTTGTTCCTGCAGGTGTCGCTCAGTTCATGCCAACGATGCCGCTTTCCCCGGGTCAGACTCCTTCTGTGGCTGTCAATGTTGGCGCGGGTGGTTCGGTCAACTCCGTCACGCACCCAAATGAATACAAACGGCTTGCTCGTTTCATGAAGTCTCAGCGAAACACTCATTTGGTGGAGATGGGAAAGATGTGGAACAAAAGCTTGAGCGACAAGAACAAGTTGCTTAAAGAGTGGATCAGTCACGGTGAAAACGCGGACAAGATCGAAGCGTCGCTTCTTTTCGTTGGAGCACCAGGATCGGGAAGGAGCTGAAGAGGAACAGTTGACGGAGCAAATGCGGAGGGAGGGCATCCCAGAGAAACTTGAACTTTTTCAGTTGACATGTCCTGACACTTGTTTGTCCACCTTTGCTGAGCTAGGGCAACGGTCCTGTGGTTTTCCAAGAGTATCTAAGGGAGAAGATCCGGGCCACTGTGCAGAGGCAAGCAGGCACCAAGGATGAAGATTGCCCAACGAACCCGGCCCTTACTCGCTACTGGGTGGTGGTGAAACGCAGGCGCACGAGAGAGACCTGCCGGACCACAGCAGCGCAGGTTACTGGCGCGGCTCACGCTTCACAGGTTGCTGAGCTGATGGGCAACGCTCCTATGTCTGAGCTGTCTGGAACCCCATCGTCAATTCCAACCCCAGAGGTGCTCAATTTCCTTCAGAACTCAGCGCCGCCTGCAGGTGGCAACCCTGCAGGACTTCTTGCTTTTGTTGTGGAATGATGCTTTGTCTGTTGGAACCCATGTTTCTGTGACTCACCATGTATGCGCGTGTGAGGAGGAGATCCTGCCACTGTCGCTGGCCCCAAAGCAAAGGCACGCGTGAAGGCAAAGGCAAAGGGGGCGGCTGGCGCCCTAGGCTTGAAACTTGAGGGTAAGAACGTCGAGGATCGAGTGCAGCTGGTCCGTGTAGCCCTCAAACTGCCTCTGTTTGCCTGGTAAGAAGTGCATCTGTGAAAAACCAATGTTTTGTTAGTTTCCCTGCCTAAATTGTCAAGGTGTTGAACTTAAGAAGGAGATGAATGCGATTTCCAATTTGAAATTGGACATGGGAAGCGATGCGCAGCACGCTGACAAATTGGCTAGCGCCAGCGATGATTTGGATTTTTGCTGGCAGAGGTGGGGGATGTACCATTTAGATTTTCCCAGGTCTACACAGTACCTGTCAGGTGTGCCCACATGGTGGATTCCAACACCTTTGATGCGGAGTTCAAGGTGATTGTTGAGAAGGCAATTTCACAATTCAGAGACTTTATGAAAATAGTGGCCAATCTGCCCAGGTCTCTGCTGTGCGACTCTTGAAAGCACAGGTCCGAGCATATCACAAAGAGTTGAAAAAGCGATCCGGACTTGTTTCCAACCTTGGGATTGAAATTTGGTGTCCTTCAATGCTTCAAGGTTGTCTAGTTTTTTTGCGGCCATACACAGCCAGGGGCTACGCCAAGCAGGCAACTGCCTGATGGATTCTCCTGAGTTTGCGCACGCAATGCGTGTGAAATTTTGGCTTACTCTTCAGTTCATTAGATGGCATATACTGAGCTAGCTGTGCCCTATAAGCCTATACTATATACAACTGTTCTCTGTAAAGTGTCTATAGATGTGACATGCAGCGGTGGTTTCCAAAATATTTTTCTGCAGCTATGCAAACAACGAAGGCCAGGGGCTAAGCTGACATTGCTGAACCATGTCGGTTCGATTCTTGTAACAAGTGTGCTCGCTGCACGCAGTGCTCTGAGAAAAATGTTATTTTTCTGCATTGGTCTTGCGCACGGTGAAGCAGTTCATTTTGCATCAGTGTTGCGCCTGGCTGGGCCAATTGTTTTTTCTTTGACTGTTCACTCGTGATTCCAGGTATTGCCCATGTTCGGAATGCATTGGATGAGAGGACTGGTTTTTTGTGCTGCTGTAAGATGGTTTGGGGGGGTTCAGTTTCAGCCAGGATTTTACGAGATGTTGGCGAAGGTGCTCAAACTTGGAAGGGGGCCAAACGGCCTGGTCAAGTGTATGGAAGCTCGCTTTTCGGTGTGAGGACTGGGGTGTCTATCACACAGTTTTTTAAAGGATTCAGTACTGCAGGTTTCCCAGCGTGAACCTTTTGCAGGACCAATGAGATGCATATTGAGACCAGGAAGATGTTCCCACTGGCACCGCCAGTGACTTACCATCAGATTGTGATCAAAGATCCGGAAACCCAAGTGGTGGAGCTGAAAGAGTGGCCTTTTGTCTTGCCCCATCACATAGTCTTTCTCTTAGCGCTTGCAGGTTTTGTTCTTGTCGCAATGTATGTGTGATGTTTTCCACCAGCGTGCAAACAAGCCGAAGGTGAGATCGTTCATCCAGTCTGGCTACAGATTTGCTCTGGGCAAAGCGCCGGCAGAATTCTGGGCAAGCATTGGGTATGATTTGGTGAATCAGTACCCAAATGATGACCATGCAGCTGTGACACTCTATGGTGATGAAGGCAACTACCTTCAGGAAACCTGGCTGTGTTTGCACTTCATGGCGGAGTGTCTGGACCCAAAGTTGATGAGTGATTCACGGGCCAGTCGCTTCATGATGGTCTGCATTGACAAATCTCGTTACCATGTGGAGGGACCAGTCAATGTGACAATCCAATCCATTTTGGCTGTCATTTGTAACAGTTTCAAAACTCTGTCACAGGGGATCTGCACTGGTGATTCTGTCTTGCGCGTTTGGTGCACAAGCTTGAAAGGGGATTGGAAATTTATCCGGCAGGCAATGTCTTTAGAAAGGCATTACAATTCCTCTGAGATATGCTGGATATGTTTGGCAACTACTACTCTTTCCCAACCGTGGACAGATGTGAGTGAGTCAGCTGCTTGGCGCTCCACGGAATACACGAAAGATCCGTGGCCAGAAGGGGCGGCTCCATCCATCGTGGCCCTTCCAGGATTCAAGCTTCAATTTGCGCAGGTAGACTTGCTGCACAGTTACTATTTGGGAATGGCTCGAAGCCTGGCATCGTCTGCGATGTATATTCTTGTCAAACAGCAGTGTTTCCAGGGAAGGAACATAGATAGCAGACTCCACAGTGCTTCCCGGCTGTTCAAGGCCCATTGCAAAGCAAGAGGCCATTATGTGGGCAAACACTTTTTCTTCGCAAGGTCCAAACTCCATTGGAAGGGTGGTGAGAATGTGGAGCTGAAGGCGAAAGCTTTCGTGAGTGGTGTAGTCATTCAGTGGCTGGCTGTTTTCATGGAAGAATCCCGGTCCAAAGAGAGCGCTGAGCAAGCTGAACGGAACGACCTTATGCGAACATTGGTGTATGTGTGTGACAAACTTTTTGCGTACATGCATGCACTTCGGAAAGAGGGTGTGGTGGTGCTCAATGAAAAGCAAGCAGAGCAAATCTCTGTAATGGGTGAGGCGGTGATTCGCTTATACTTGGTGCTGGCGTCTGGTGATTGGAGCAGGTACCCCTGCAAATTGTTCCACTGCCGACCAAAAGTCCATATGACACACCACAGTTTCCTTTCGGCGAAATCCACAAGAAGGCTTCCTGTGAATTACACAACATGGATGGATGAAGATTGGGTAAAGCATTGCATGAGACTTGGGCGTCAAACGCACCGAGCAACGGGAGCGCTGAACACTCTACGGCGAATGTGGCTGGCGACGTTGTTCAAACTCCGTGATTTTGCGCAGAGCTGAAAAGGAAAAGTTTGTTCAGTGCTTCGGCATTTTCTTTGTTTTGTCTTCAATGCATTCCCTCACGATGGTTCAGATATTGTAGGCGTCCTCGGGCAAACCAAACCTGTGCTGAATTGTCCCAGGTTATCGCTTGGCCCTTTAAGTCAAGTTTTGTGCGCGTGTGTGTTTGTCATCACCTGTTCCTAGGGATCGACCCTACCTTCTCCGCTATTCATTCTTGCTGACAAATTGCACAGCACCTAGGGGATCTTGTAACGCAAGTGCAGTAGCCCACTCATGAGTCTACTGCCAACGACGCTGCTCGTGAGTTTGGGAGGATATCGGAGCTGATCACTCTGATGTACCTGCGCACAATCTGTGGTAGCGGAGGTGTTTCCAACTGCAATTGCTTTATGTGGCCACAAAAAGACCTGACAGCCAGTTCCGCACCTCATCTGAGCAAATTTGCCTTCTGAAAGGCTGCGATACACTTTTTGGTGCCAAAAAAAAAGGGCCACTGCATGGAAAAACCGGGGGGATTTACCTATGATACGGCCAAATCGTGGGGATTTGACCCTGGAACGATTCTCCAGGCTACCACTACCACTACGACGACGACTACTACTACTACCACTACTACTACTGCTACCACTACTACTGCTACTGCTACGACTACCACTACCACTACCACTACCACTACCGCTACTCCTACTACTACTACTACTCCTACTACGACTACTACTACTACTACTACCACTACTACTACTAGGACTACCACCTACTACTACCACAACTAACCACTACCACTACCACTACCACTACTACTACTACTACAACTACTACTACCACTACTACTACTACTACTACTACTACGAAGACTACTTTCTCTACCACGACGACCACTACTACTACCACTACTACTACTACGGACTACTAACTACTACTAACTACTACTAACTACTAACTACAAACTACTAACTACTACCACAACCACTACTACTACTACCACTACTACCAC